AGGTTGAAGCTGGAGAGCTCCAAGTCCGTGCAACGTCTGAGGGAGGTACCAGTTATTTATGGCAGTGGGGGACCTAATTGCTGACAACAGAAGCATACCTATATCAATATCCCCATACTTTGCTAGGTAGACTACCCAGATATCGTCAACTCCAACGCTCGTCATATCTTTCATTGTGGTTAGCTCCTACGCGAAGTCTTCTTCAAGATGCTACTTTACACTCAACTTCCTAGTGGACTTGAAACGGTTGATGTAATTATTGCAGGCGGTAAGCTCTCAATCCTCCTGTCATCCGCGCGCGCAGTTACTGACCGCACCCCTAGGCGGCACGGCGGGATGCATCGTCGCTTCAAGACTTTCTGATGCGGATCCAAAGCTTTCTATCCTTGTTATCGAACAGGGCCCTGATAGCACTGGAGACCCTACTGTCACGTTTCCTGCAATGTATATTGCACATATGTCTCCTGATAGTCCCAGAATGCAGCGTCTGGAGGGGAATAAGTCTGCCGCCATTGCTAATCGACGGCTAATTGTCCCTGTCGCGAAGAGTCTTGGTGGCGGGTCGTCTGTCAATATGCTAATGTATAGTCGTATCCAGCAAACAGACGCTGCGTCTTGGCAGGCGCCTGGCTGGTCTCCGGACGAGATGTTACGCCTGATGAAGAAAGTATTTCTCGACGCCTATACCACGATAAACTGCCGAGCTAAACAGTAAACAGGTTGAAACCTACCATGGTCCTGGGCGTGAAGAGCAGCATGGGTTTGATGGTCCAATTCAAATATCTTCGGGTACCTATTCTTCCCCCCGGCTAACAGAGGCCTTTGTCGCTGCCAGTGCGCAGATGGGTTGGGAAGAACTGCAAGATCTTGGGGACCTGGATACCAACAACGGGGTCCAGCGTGCATTACGCTACATTTCACCAGACGGTAAACGGCAAGATACCGCACACTGCTACCTACATCCTCGCCTCCAAGACGGCAAACATCCAAACTTACACGTCTTGGTACAGTCTAGAGTGGTAAAAGTGCTCTTCGATACCGCGAAGAGAGCGACTGGTGTCGTCTACGCGCCACTGCGATCGACGGAGCTCAGTACGATCAAGGCCACGAAGATGGTCATTATCTCTAGTGGAGCTTGTGGAACACCTCTTGTGCTCGAAAGATCTGGCCTTGGTGACCCAGTGATCCTCAATCGAGCTGGCGTCGAACTTGTTGCCCAGATTCCAGGGGTTGGAGCGACCTACAACGATCATCACGTCTCCTCGGCCCCATACCGCTCGAATCTTGATACTCGAGAGACTCTTGACGGTTTCGTCAATGAAACGTTTAATATTCCTGCTCTGATGGAAAGTAACGACGATATACTAGGTTGGAATGGTTTTGAAATCACCGGAAAGCTTCGGCCTAATGCTTCCGACATCGCCGCCCTTGGACCCGAATTTGAAGCTGAGTGGAGCCGAACGTTCGCCAATAATCCAAACAAACCTATGGTCGGCCTGACCTTGGTCGCCGGGTAAGAAAACAGCTGATTCTATTTTCTTACGATATGACCATAATTAATAACCCTCTGCTAGTAATGCTGCAGACCCCTCGAAGACCCCAGTCGGCCAATACTTCTCTAATTCAGTCTTCAACATGTATCCATCCTCTCATGGTCATATACATATAACGGGGCCAAGTCTAGATGATCCATTAGACTTCGACCCCGGAGTTTTCACTGACAATGCTGGAGTGGATATCAAGAAGTGTATTTGGGGTTATAAGGCGCAACGAGAGATCTCCCGTCGCATGAGCGTCTATCGGGGCGAGTTAGCTGCATTCCACCCAGCATTTGCGACAAACTCGAAGGCTGCTTGCATTGAACTGCAAGGGCCGCCAGCGGTTGATATAGAGAACATCGAATACACTTCTGAAGATGATGCTGCCATTGAAGAGTGGCTACGAAAGAACATCGCCACAACATGGCACTCCACAGGAACATGCAAAATGTTACCGCTACATAAGAATGGAGTAGTTGATGCTAATCTTAGCGTTCACAATATCACCGGCTTGAAGATCGCGGACGTGAGTATTATTCCACATAATGTTGGGGCTCATACCAACAATATCGCAATGGTTATTGGCGAAAAAGCTGCAGAGATCTTTATTGAGGAGTTTGGTCTTTCGCAGTGAAACTGAGTATGTTGGAAACATTCATTAAGTTTGTTTTATTCGTTGTGGTCTCTGGCTGCTCTACGTTCATTATGTTTGTTTATGTCACGGCTCCAACTATATAAGTGACTGCAGGCGGTCAAGTCTCCGACTTGACAACGCTCTATCTTTTGATATTGTTGTGGTATAGTGCTACAATTCTATTCCGTGTCAGTTTAGGTAGTTTAGGCACGCTAAATCTGCTGCGGTAGCAAACGATCTTTATGAATATGAGCTATAAGATACCGTGTAAAATGTCAGCAATATTTATAAAAAAGGCGTATATTCTGATTCTCGTGCCTGTTCTAGATTTAGGATCCCTACATTATTACCAAGTAGCTATTACGACTAGTGTTTGAGCCGGTATAATAACAAATCTATAAACTAAGGAAGTCAGTTTCTTTTCCACGAGGCAATAGGCACCATTATTCTAGCAGGAAAATGCCGCAGCCTAGGAGATGCGGTATGTTGAAACCAGTATCTTGCAGTAGCACACCCTCAAAACGGCCTGCCGTATTGATCGAATTTTTACCCAAGTAGATACCTGGTAGTTTTACAGCCTATTAATCTTTTTTTACTGCTCAAGAAGATAGGGTCGCATGTGTTACCTAGGTAACAATTCTTAAGTAAAATTATGCATGTAACCCAGCCTCAAACCTCGCTTAAACTCATAACCATCAACGATCTCACTCTACAAACTCGTGTGATTTTTGTGATTTTCCAAAATAAATGGATGAACAAGCAAATACGTACTTCTCCTCGATGACAACAATCAAACAAGTAAATAAGCTGATAAAACACTGCGCAGAGGCCGCATCAACCATCCAGGCCGAGTGTGCCGAAATACTCTCCGGCAAAAACAACAAACATGACCAGGTCAGCAGCAGCAGCGTCACTGGGACCTCACTCGTGGGCTGTGGAACAGCGCTGGTCGATCTACTCTCGCGCCAAGCGAACATAGTAAACACCCTATACCAAATTAACACAAAGGACGCCAATGCGACGTCTACTGCCCCAGGCTCGCAAGGGCCGGGTGAAGCACAGAAATGCGATCTTGCTCTCAAGCGATTAGACGACATCGCATCGATCGCATACTCCAAATTCTACGCCTACCTGTTCAAAGACCTCCCAGTCTGCTGGAGACAGCTATACACTGATGCACAGATACTCAAGTTCTGTCTCCTGTTTCTCAAGTCCCCGTACGGTACTAATGGTCATCACCACGCGTTAGGTGGAGGAGGTTCCTCCTTTGACGATAGTATCAAGCACCATGACTGCTTATCTGAACTCGTCAAGACACTGGATCTCGCCCTGATCCTAGCCGGAGCCGCGGGCGAGAAGAGGGGGCGAAGGTGGATTGATAAGGCTTTGGAGCTCCTTCATTTCATCTGGTTGGCGGAAGGCGAGGACCAGGAAGACGGGCCCGGCGACGCTACGAGTAACGATAGTCGACCAGCGAAGCGGGCAAAGCGCACGGCGCACCACGGCGCATTAGATACGCGCGATTCCCACGTGATAAGTGATACGTTCTCGACAATAGAACCGTTCACACCGCCCGTGACGCGCCCAATAGAAGTAGTCGAGGCCCTATCCATTGAAGAGTTCCAGACATACATGGACCGACCGCGCGATCCCAAGCTCGGTCCGGAACCTCTAATCCTCCGTAACACTCTGAGCGAATGGCCAGCTCTGAGCACAAGACCGTGGAACCGGCCATCGTACCTCCTATCGCAGACCTTCGACGGCCGTCGTCTGGTGCCCGTGGAGGTTGGCCGCAGTTATGTAGACGAAGGCTGGGGACAGAAATTGATTACGTTTGGGGATTTTCTGCGCGAGTATATCGATCCAACAACATCAATATCACTTAATGACGACCAAGATTCATCCCAAGTGGGCGACACGGGGAGCGAAATCAAAGGAAGCAGAAACATCATCAAAGACAGTAGTAAAGAAGATATCCCGCAGCAGTCCAAACCAACAATAGCCTACCTAGCGCAACACCAACTCTTCACACAACTCCCAGCCCTGCGCAACGATATCCTAATCCCAGATTATTGCTTCACGTCTCCACCCCCGCACCCGACGGACGCAAGCATAGACCAGCCAGAGCTAGACGCCCCGCTTCTGAACGCGTGGTTCGGGCCCCCGAGGACCATCTCCCCGCTACACAACGATCCATACCACAACGTTCTCACACAAGTCGTAGGCCGCAAGTACGTGCGTCTCTACTCCCCGCACGAGACGGCGCGACTAGCCGCACGGGGCAAGGAGAACGGCGTTGAGATGGGGAACACGAGCGCGCTCGACGTCGGGGTTCTGGAGGGCTGGGATGATTGCCTCCCTACTACTACTACCGATGATGATGAGCAAGGCGAGGATGAGGACAAGGAGGGAGAAGAAGAAGAAGAAGAAGAAAACATCAAGGCCTTTAAGGCACTTCCTTTCGTCGATTGTATACTTGAGCCCGGCGATGCGCTGTATATACCCATTGGATGGTGGCATTATGTCCGGGGTCTGAGCGTCAGCTTCAGCGTAAGTTTTTGGTGGAATTGAGGAAAGAATTTTCATGTAGTAATTCTTGCTTCGATGGTTCTGTTGTCGACCAGTCTACTCATCGCCCTTTATATTCTGCTGTACACCGATGTGCAACACAGATATTTTCGAACTGCATGCGTGTGAGTTGCCGAGACACGTCATGGTTAGGTTGGATAAAGTTTACTTTCAAGATACCCCTAGCAGTACCTACTGCAAAGCCTGGCTAGAGTCTCTAGGTAGTACCTTACTAGAAGTGAGCATGAGAAGGCTTGAAACCCAGAGTGGTGTACTGGAAGCACGCCAAGGTGACAGTTAAGCCCCTCTTCACTGAGAGCTTAATCCCTTCGGGGGCGGAGGAGATCCAGGTTCGATCCCTGGCTCTGGGAGTGTTTTTTACTTTCTTTGTGACCTTTTTTTGACCAGAGGTATTCCGCATTATAAAGTAAGTAGGTAGTATATACACAGCCAGCGCCTTAACCCCAAGTTCCACCACCGCCGCCACCTCTACCACCTCTCCTCTGGGCACTGAGCCTCCAATCATCTTCAGTAGCAAATTTATTATACAGCGGCTGTATACGCTCTGCCTTCTTGCGCTTGCTGAGCTTGTCCGTCGGCGCGACCTTGAAAAAGGTCGGGGCCGCCTCGACGAGCCATTTCGGCTCGATGCTCGTCGTGCAGTGCATGTACTCCTTCACGGTGAGAACGAGCGTCGAGTAGATGACCCATTCCGCTTGTTTGCCGAATAGCGCCGAGCTCGGGTGCAAGTAGACGGGCGTGCCCTCGACCAGGGTCTTGTAGCCTTCTTGCGGGTCCTTCCTGGCCGCGTTGCGGAAGAAGCCTGAGCATAGCGCCTGACGCACTTTCTGTGTGTCGCGACCGCACGATACCACAGGGTGGCGATACCTCTGCATGATCTTAAGTAGTTGATCCCTGACGTCCTTGGCTCGCTTCATAGAGCGGAACTGGATGAAATTTTCGAAGCACCACGGGGATGAAAACCCGCTCTGTTTCCAAGCATTATAAACATTTAATAGGGTTAGATGGTCGCCATGGGGATCGTGAAATTTCGCCTTTTTCTGGTCAGCTTGCGTCTGTTTCTCCTTGGGCCGGTAAAATATGGTAGGCATATTTAGCATGGCTACAATAGTCATGATTTCATCAGAGCAACCCATGTCGACGGAATAAATAAGCACCTTGGCTAGTGCAGGCTCCATTGGGAAATCAGCCATTTTGCGACCAAGTCTCGTAAGTAGGCCTTCGTCGTCCAGTGCGGATAGCGCATAAAGAGTTTCCAAGGCTTCAAGCATGGTATTCGTTGGTGGCGGATCCATGAAGTCGAAGTGGAGAAGGTCGTTGATGCCCATTGCTTTCAGCATGAGAATAACGTGAGCCAAATTCTGCCGTTGAATTTCTGGCGGCGTTGTCGGAAGCAGTTCTGAATTATACGCCGCTTCAGTATAGAGTCGGAAGCATTTTCCAGGTCCAGTACGACCAGCACGACCCGCACGCTGATTCGCCTGGGCTTGGGATATCGGAACCACTATCAAAGAATCCATTCCAAGTTTGGGGTCGTAGCTATTTTGTTTTACGAATCCCGGGTCTACCACGTAGTAAATACCATCAATAGTGATGGATGTTTCAGCGATATTTGTAGCAATAACAACTTTCCTAGCGCCAGGCGGAGCGGGCTCGAAGACTCGAGATTGAATATCGGTGGGAAGACTGAGACAGGGTTAGTAGGGGCGGCCTCACTCTATTTAAGCAACATCAAGCTTACCTGCTGTAAATGGGGCAAATAATCAGTTCAGGAACATTAGGTCCTAAAGCTTTCATACGCTCATATAGAATTTCGCAGCTCGTGTCGATTTCTTCTTGCCCAGTAAGAAACAGTAGTATATCGCCACTCGGTTCTGTGAGATGGATTTGCATGATTGTTACAAGCGCGGCACTGAAAGAAGTTAGTAATCGCAAGTTTATATGCTCAAGAGCCTCGGAAGTTTCCAGGGACAATGGGATAGGATATAATGAACTTACTCTAAGTAATCTGATTCCGGTTCACGGGAGTAGAGGATTTCGACGGGGAAAGTACGACCAGGTATCGTAAAAATAGGGCATTGGTTGAAGTATTCGGAGAATTTATCAGCATCTAGGGTGGCTGAAGTGACGATAACTTTAAGATCGGGTCGACGTTTCAATGTCTTTTTCAACAATGCAAAGAGGACATCTAAATCAAGAGTCAGAATTAGCTTTCCTAAAGAGGGCATGAAGGGGTGCTGCTATATCATACCTGTCGATATTGTGCGCTCGTGCGCTTCATCCAACATGATAACCGAGTATCTGCTTACGTCTGGGTCTATAAGAATTTCACGTTCCAGCATACCGTCCGTCATGTATTTGATCCTAGTAGAGGGACTTGTTTTGTCCTCGAATCGGATTGTATAGCCGACTTCTTGACCAAGCTCACATCCCACCTCTTCAGCCACACGCTTGGCGACGGACATGGCTGCTACTCGGCGAGGTTGCGTGCATCCAACCATGCCATGGTTGGTAAACCCAGCCTCGTCGAGGTACTGTGTCAATTGAGTCGTCTTACCCGAGCCAGTCTCTCCAACGACAATCAAAATCTGGTTCTCTTTGACGGCCGTGATGAGCTGGTCTCTGAAGGCGTAGACTGGGAGACTCTCTCTTTGCTCCTTCATTGACATGTTCGTGCGTTTACCCAAAGGTTGATCTTTAGGCGCAATAGCACGTTTCCATTCAGGTACACCCTCGGATTTCCCCGCGTTAGCCTTCGAGCTGCGCAGGTCGCTAGCAAACTGTCTGCTATCCGGGTTCGCCATTGGATCGTGCCACTGGGATGAAAGGTCAACTTTGGATTCCTGCTCAGCTGCCTCAACTTCTTGTTGCCGTAGTTCCCTTCTTTCCTTAGCCAGTGTAGCACCGGACATGGCCGCTCGGTTGAGCGAACCGTCTGGAGCCTTCACTACCCTGATAGGCGACAATTCCAAGGATTGTTTCGTCTGACCCGCCAAGAAGGGTGGCTCTTCCTCACGCACTTCAATGTCCACGTCTTCTTCAAGCTCCATTTCACCGTCGCCACGCAGGGTAGCGTTGTAGTCGTCTTCAAGATCAGGATAATCTGAGGCTTTCGCAACACCTGAGGCAATGAGTTGGCGAATCTCCCACCGTTCGGGAGACGTCATCCGCTTCTTATGCTTTCCTCTCGTCCCTGCGTATTCCGAAAGGGCCGTGGTATTATCGGTTGGCATGGGAGCGACTCCATTCCGGCTACCGAGAGCCTCCATGTTGGCGCCTGACTGAATCCGTGCCGCAGGGGCAAGGTCTATACCAGTCTCCTGCTCAACATCCTTCATGGAGAGTCCTATGCGGTTGCCTTCGATCTTGACGACTTTGACTTTGATGCTTTGGCCCCTCGCAAGGAGGTCTGAGGGGTGATTCACCCTCTGGCCCTGCACGAGATTTGATATGTGAACCATGCCATCAACTTTGCCCTTTACGCCATGTAGATTCACGAATGCACCGAAATCCTTAATGCCCGTCACATGGCCATCATAAACCTTGTACAGCACGGGGGCGTCGTCGAGTTCGGGCTCGGGCGGGCGTCGTAGCACATCGTCGTCCTCGTAGTCATCATATTTCCGTTCCCGTCGACTCTTCCCATCTCTTCGGCTGCGGCGATAGTCGTCGTAATCGTCGTCCCTACGATCCCGAGAGCGCCGCCTCTCTTTCCGTCGATGTCGCCCATCTTCATCGTGAGGACTCCTGGAGCGTTTTCTCGATGGCGCGTCGCGAACCGGCTTAGGCGCTAAGCCCTCCAAGAGCGCAAAGGTGTCGTCGATCTCGTCAGCATCGTTGGTCGTCGCGACGTCCTTGTCCGGTATGCTCAAGCCCTTGAACAGGGTCTCTTTCTCTCGTAGCGACCGTATCGGCTTGTCATCTTCCTCGTGTGTTTTTGCGTTGCCGTTTGTCGCCTTAAACTTGGGGTGCATAGTCAGAACCAGGCGATCTATACTATCGAATAAACTGTCCGGCCAACTCGCGCCGCCCATGCCAGCCAGCTTGTCCTTGAACTGGGCGAGTTTCGTACATTGTAACCTCTGCGCGATGATGAACTCGGCCAGGGTCTTTTCGTTTATACCTAGATGGTTCTGAAGTTCGGACGTGACCTTGGAAACAAGCGATAGTAGCTCGAGCTCATGGAGGTCGTCCATGATTCATCGACGAGAGCTATCTTTGGCGTAGCTGCTCTAGTAGTAAGTAGGTGTGGCCGGCCTCAAGTCCAGACGTCCCTGGTTCTGCGACGAAGAGAGTGTGTATTCAATAGAGAAGCTTCGCGGTTGACTCGAAATTCCAAAGTTCCAATGCGACGATGAGAGATAAGCGATAAGCGCATAAACTAGTTGAATTCGTATATCGAGGCTGAAGGCTAATGCCAAGAATGGGGGCCATGGCTTAGAGCCACTTAACCGCCCATTGTGGTTAGGGCCTCCTGCAGGCATTACGCAGCAGCACCGTATCTGGTTAAACGCCTGCCTAAAGCTGGGGACGCCCTCCCGTAGTGGCGTGATCCACTCCTCCGTCATTGCGACGGTCCTTGTCCCTACACTCCATCTGCTCACAAGCTTGAACAGACCATCTCCAATTAGACCACATCAATTCTCCTTGTGAACCCTTCTATCGATGTACAACATTGCTTCAACAAAGAAGCGCCAATAAACTCCTCGCGAAACCAGACGATAGATAGATTGTCTGCCAATATGTGCGGCGCAGATATATTTCTCGGCGTGATAGCCATCTTATTCCCACCTTTAGCCGGTACGTCATTGCGCTCCCCTCACAATACGCCAAGCGACAAAGTTCAGTCCATTTATCGCATCGTATTGCCCATATGAAGCTCCAACGGATGGATACAACTGCGATCGCGAATATAATCACATAAACAAGACATGAAACGCAAAAGCTAACAATCCCTTCTCTAGTCTGGGTGAAACGCGGCCTCTGCTCCGCCGACTCCGTCATCAATATCCTCCTCTGCTTCCTGGGCTATGTGAGCAAAAGCCTATCCCACCACCAACCCCCTTCCCAACTAAAACTCACAACATCCATCTCCTAGGTCCCCGGCCTCTTCCACGCCTGGTACATAATCGCCAAGTTCCCAGACGAGATAGAAGACTACGAACGCGTGCCCCAAAACGACTACGAACAGGGCGGCAGCAGCCGGGTACATTACGTCTTCGTACAAGCTCAGCCTCAACCCCATCCTCGAACTCCGCAGCAACAGCCAAAGCATGCCTCTCCAGTAAACTACGGGACAGCTAGTAATGCCGGCTCTTCCTCGAACCCTCCTGATCATCACGACGAGGCG